TCAGTTATCTGCAATATTGGCTGAGATATAATTAAAAATAGATTTTTCGGTAATGGCGGCACTAATTTGCATAAAAACAATACGTGGGACATTTTTTGAATTTTTTAACATAGCAAATCGTTTTCTACGCATTTTTTCTGACCTAGAAACGTTGATTAGAAATTGATTTCCGAGGGTGCACGATACCCCCCTTTTCCGACTAAACTAATGGTATTTTGGTGCCTTTTTGATATTTACGCAAAAATGCAAATTTCCATGTTCATGAGGAAAAGTGTGATGTCATTTCAGGCAGAAATTTCAATGTTGCAGCTATTTCAACACAAAAAAGTTGCCAGAATTTTGGCTATTTTGCTGTCCTAATTTTTCTGTTCTTCGGTGCTTCATCGTTGTGTCAGTACAAGATACCAGGTAGTTCACAATTTGAACAAAAAACCATTGAACTAAAAACAGTGTCGTCCTGAAATGACATAACAGCAATAGCGCTCTTAGTCAACGATTATCCAGAAAAGCATGGACAATTTAAAATGTTTTTTGTGCGTTATGGGAGTAAAACTAACCCAAATTAAAAGCGTATTTCAGGGGTCTAAAAATGTTCAAATCAGAAGGGAAAAAAGAGCATTTCAATTTAAATTAAACATACCGATTGAAATTTCACTAGGAGAAAAACAAATTGAATACAAGAGCGCGGTAGAGCAAAAGCTATTATATTGAGTGCCCATCTACTGGCAGATCAAGTGTGCTTGCCAACAAATGCGTACAAAAGCAAATGGTCGGATCCAGTCAGCGCGGACAATGTAGGTTATAAATGCAAAGAGGATTAGCACAGATATTCTATTCCCTCAAGGATCGTAATTTATGTCTGCAGTATAACTATCACCCCGACACAAAAACATCCATCTTATGAATAGTTAATGCAGTACCCGCTGCTATCTGATTCGGACCAGCTAACCAATCCTGTTAGCTCGGTGGTCGAGTGGTAAGACATCAGCACTAGAAAGCAGGAGGTACTGGGTTCGAATCCCACCCGAGTGATGTTTTTCCAACTTTCACTCGGGAGGTAACACACTGAGTATACAGTGTTTATACATCGGTGAAGGGTGAAACCTAATATTGATTTACAACACCCCGACGCAAAATAATTCCATCTTATGAATAGTTTTTACAATATTCCTTCCACGGGCGCACAACTTGAATAAAGGGTCTTGCTGACCCATTTCATTTGATAACCACATTTGAGGATGCAATTCTTGTAGTTATGAAGATTTCATAAATTTTCCACTTCTCAGACGTCTCCACTTTTGCATGTAAAAGGATGCTCTGTATTAAATGCTTTACCAGAAGTGTACAATACAAGTGGCTCTGACCATGTGCTAACATTGTACAACTTGTCAAACGTAATTACATGTCGAGGTACAGAGGCAAATGACAAAATGAACTAGAACTTGGTCATTCTATTCAAACACACACACATTTTTTTTTTTAATCAACTTAGCGATAGAGGCTTGCACTCTCCATTTCATTTCCTTGCTTTGAATTCCATGCCTTCTGCATCAGAAAGCATTCAGCATTGGGTATGGTCACAATAATTGGACTGATTTTGATCTAAAAGTAAAACACGCATCACGATTCACGAGTCATATTTTACTTTGATTTACAATGTAACACCCTCCTGCGACGTCACACTATTTTTTTTTCACGCCATTATCTTGCATGAATGGAGCACAGCGCGCCAGCATTTGACAAATGGCAAGCTGTACATGTACATGTACGCATATTTTTTTTCTCGTAACGGTAGGTGGGGGAAGCTACAATGTACCATAATTCAGTAATTTCACAGAATCACAGCAAGACACTTAGGTTTTCGTTCAATTTCGTTCCTTCAATTTAAAAAATAGTCCTTGGAAAAATGGACATACCGGATTCGAACCAGGGATCTTTTAATCCATAGCTCATCTCGTTAACCACAAGGCAACTGTGGCAGCTCGACAACTGCCATTCTTTCAAATGCTTTAAACACTGTTAAATGTAACTAATAGACTAACTAACAACAATGATGTGATGTAGTTGGTCTTTTCTCATAAATAAACAAAATTGATTTTCCCAGTTTAACAAATTCAACAATGAAGAATGTGCAAAGTCCTCAGTTCAAGCAAAAATGAGGAATCCTTGTTTTGGAGGGTGTCAAGTACATGTAGATTAATACACTTGGTAAAGCGCCATTCACAGATGCGCTCCTCATACATACACGTATAGACTGGTATGGATAGACTATCCATTTTCAAATAGTTTAGTATTCCATTACTCAACACTACGTTGGACCGAATATTCGAATATTCGAAACTGCCAGTTGTAACTGCGTGCTGTGCCGGTAAAACCTTGCACGAAGAGTGCCCCAGTTAAAATGTGCGTGCGGCGAACAATATGGGGCGCTGGTGTGTTTCGCAGTACTGCAAGTATTTTGTAAAGGGCTTTATTTAACCTGCCAAAAGGATGTGACAGATGAGCCACCGTCAACAAAAAAGTTACCGTTGACAAAAAAAGTGGCACCAAATAAGAACCCCCCCCCCCCCATAAAAGTTCTGCTTCCGGTTTCCCTACCTACCCTGTTCTGACAGCCCCTACCCTAATTTTTGCATGGGCAAAATGTGGGGGAAAACACAGAAAACCATCAATTTCTACCTTTTACCCTTGACAACACGTAGACGCCTCCATATGATCGTGCACAAAAAATTGGCAAAAAAACCCCAACAAATTCCTACGGGTGTACCTCGGTACCAAGCTGCCGGGCACCCTATTTTCAGATGTTATATACTGGTAATCGGAAGCAGAACTATTGTTTTTTTGCCACAAAAGTCACTTCCTTGAAATGACTCGACTCGACTCAACTCAAGTCACAGAATTCAGTGACTTGTTGCAGCTCTGGGAGCTTGCCTCGTCTGGTTCAATGTCAATCTCTACTACTTTAAAGTTCCAATCAATGAAGCACTATACACCTTCACATGGTGAGACAAGACGCTTCATTCATCCGGCATCCCTACCCTGGCTGATTCATTTCAGCACCGCTGCTCATTTGTCTCATACCGGTACCCCCTCAGATGGTTTGGCATTTCGGTGGTGGGGGGGGGGGAGCTTGGACTACCGGCGACCTTTCCAACTGCCAGTTTTTAATTTCAAGGCTGGGGAAAACCAGGCTTACAAAACGTGAGCTGTCACCAGGGGAGAATTGGCCGGGGAGAAGACTGAGAAAGATAAAGAGGGGTGATCGGGAAACGATTGCTCCGCGGGGAGGATGAAAGTCTCAGCTTTTGTAATCTTGCGGCAAGTAAAAAAAAAAAATCCGCGCATCTGGGAAACGTCTGGACTGATTCGCAGAATTGAATTGGGTTCTCAGAAACTGGACACGATCTAATAGCGTCACTCTGTCACGATCATTGGTTAGGGGTTTGCTACGGTATGAGCCTTTTTACAAAACATATAATTTATGGTAAATGATAATTATAATTCAGACAAGTTATCAGTACATACATGTATGTACTTGGTATTTAAAACTGTATTTATGTATGTGGTGGGTAAAAGCTTAAAAGTATAATTCATACCTCAAATACACCAAAACAAAATCATATACATGTACTTCAAATTGGAGAAAATTGATAGATCACTTTGAACTGTAGGCTATTTCTTAAATTGATTGATTGATATGCGAATTTTGACTTGAATGTTCCTGAATGTGTTGTGCTGTAAAATCCTGTATGACCACCTACAAAACTTGATGGAGTACCGGTGCATGTACGGTACCAGCTACGTACATGTACATGCACATCACTCATGTACCTAAGGGTACAAAAATACCATGACCTACGTACAGCACAGCCTGCAGTAACTGATACAATACTGCACTGCACATTGCACAGTGTACAAGTAAAAATACATCCTAGACTGTACTACAGCTCACAGTAGGACGGCAGAGGGCAGCATTCATGTTGAATGGATTCTCACCACTGGCCTCCATATTAATACACAGACTTGCTGATAATGCCTAGGCACTGAAGCAGCTGCCTGTCATCTTGGGTCCCCCATGATGCACACATGGTATACAAATATGTAAAAAAAATTAACGAGTGGTTGGTATCGGATTTCATTTTTGGAGTAAATGCCGCGAAAAAATAAAAACAGTATTTTCTGACCAGCTTTTGAAAATTTCTTAATCAGGTTTTTTTTTCAAATTCAAGAATCTGGGAAAAATCCTGCTAATTTAATTTTGCAATTTAATGAGGGTAAATTTAATAATTTAAGAACATTTGATGAATTTGTACTGAAAGTACCGGTACGATCCTAAATGCATGGTTGAGATTGGGGGGAAAAGGAAAATCCAGCAAATAATCAACAGAGGGTTTGGGGCCGCAGGGCCCCAGAGTTACATAGAGTTTTTTTTGTTTTGTTTTTAGTGTTAGGGTCTATCTATATAATAATACGCAAATCTCTGTTTGTTTGGATGTTTGCTTGTTTGTCCGGACTTATTCTCGGAAGTGGCAGGTCACACGGCGCTCAAACTCGGTGGGTGGGTGAGGCTTGGTCCAACTTAGATATTTTCAACCTTTGATAAGCGATTGCAACCTCGGGGGCCCCTCCCCTGGGGTCCTCTCTTTTATACGTACGTACATTCAAGCACGTACATGAACGCATGCATACGTACACAGCCTGTGATTGCACCTGAAAGGGGAACTCCCAAGCTACATGCCAATATGACTATAGAGGTCGCTGTTCATATGGGTCTGTGTGACAAAAACAGCACCGATTTCGGGGCGGTTTTAGGTGCAAAAGGATCGCAGAAGGGGGACAACTTCTCATGGTAACCAATCGCTACATCCAGCAACTCTATGCGTCCTACAAACAGCCAAAGCCGGGTAACTGCCTAGAATGTTTGTATTTTCCTAATAAGACACCCTTTCTAACACAATTCAGTTTGTTCTATATGAACTTTTATAGGTAAAAACACCTCTGAAGTAAAACCTCAGGAATTCCAGATTTGAAAAGGGATTCTTCAAAAATCCTGAAATTAGGACAAATCTTGAAATTGGAAATATCCTGACAAATCGCACCCCTGCCACCAAATTTGACTTACCTTTTTCGACTCGACGACCTTCTTCCCGTTCTTCTTCTCCCGCATGGAGCCCGCTCGCGGACCCCCCGTGAGATCGTCCTTGTTGTTTCCTGAGAATCGCTTAAAAAGGCTTTTACGCAGCCGGCCCTTGTTGTTCCCGCCGGCCGCGGAGGACACCAGGTCCGGGGAGGAGTGTTCGGCCCGGTGCAGGAGCTTCTTCCCCGCGTGCCGCTGGTGCGGGTGCGTGGTGGCGGGAGAGCTGGGCGCGGAGTACGCCGTTGAGGATTTGAGATGGTCGTAGCTGTGGTGATGCCGCAGGAATCCCGGCGAGGAGTGGCAGGAGCTGCCAGAGAAGTCCAAGTGGCTCTGACTGTAGTTGGAACTGGAGTTGTTCTTCATGTAGGACGCTGCTTCTAGACGCTCGTCGTCATCCTCCTCGTCTTCGTAATCGTCGCTACAGCAGGGCGATCGGTTAAAGCCTTGATAGGGGGCGTCTTCCAGGTAATAATCGCCTCTGGCCCGATCGCAGGTTAAGACCACGTCCTCGGCTTCTTTGCTTTTCTCCCTGGTGCATCTCGGCATCCCCCAGGCTTCTCTCCGTCTGTCCGGCCGCTGCGTGAGGTCCTCTATTTTGCTGATCAGCAGGTCCTTGGCGGCCTTGGGCTTGTCTTGCATTTGGAGGGTTGTCGGACGGTCGGCGCTCGTGGCGGTTTTCGTCGCGGTGTGGTTGGCCGTTACCACCTGACCGTCATTGTTATTATCCATGGTGCATGTTGTCGTTGTCGTTGTGGCGGACGTTTCTGTCCTGGGGTGATCGCCTACACCCAGAGTCTGAAACAAGAACAACATACAGAACAGTCAGAGTTGAGCATTTGTACTCTGATTCAGTGTTACAGTCGAGTCTCTCATAAGTCCATCACACGTCCTGTCAAAAGTAAATCATAAGTCCAGTCCCAAGTAACAGGGGGTGAATAGAAACAAAGGATATTTTTTTTTTCATACAAGTAGTTCATTTGAATAGCTTGTGATTTGAATTGGGACTGGATAACTTTTGAGGACTTGTGAGGTGTTGGGAGGACTTGTGAGTTCTTGTGAGCTCTTGTGAGGACTGGTGAGGAGTTGTGAGGAGTTGTGAGGACTTGTGAGATCTTAAGATTTGAGGCTTTGCATGGTGGGGTATCGGTATCGTTTCGGTTTGCGGTAACACCATGTGGTAATAACTACTGCTTAGAAGATATTAGTTCTGAAAAGAACTTGTCCTGCTTGTTATCAACTTTGCTAAGTAGTTTTTTGTTCTGTTAAGAACAGTCCTGCTGTAAGTTCTAAACGAACTTGTCTTTGGTCTCAACGTTTCAACTAGCCTGCTCTAGTCATCGTCAGGAGACTGAAGATGAGATCTTCTGAAGATGAGATCTTGTGAGATCTTATGAGAAGACTTGTGAGATCTTGTGAGGACTTTCGAGGTCTTGTGATGGATTGTGAGGACTCATGAGGTCTTGTGATGGACAGGTGATGGACTTGTGAGCTCTTGTGAGACTTGTGAGTTCTTGTGAGGACTTGTGAGGTGTTATGGGGATTTGTGAGTTCTTGTGGGTTCTTGTGAAGACTAGTGATAGTTTCGACTGCAACAATGCCCCAGTCTGCAATCAGTTTACTTGATTTGACCCAGTACTGGTGGACTTGTGAGGACTGGTGAGGTTTTGTGAGGTTTCATGAAGAACTTGTGAGGACTAGTGATGGACTTTGACTGCAAAACGGCCCCAGCTGCAATGGATTCAGTCTGGACTTGAACAAATTATAGGCCCATCTGAACTCCTTGACCACAAGGCCAGCAAACAGGCATGAGGCTACACAGGAAATGCTCAGGGTCATACAACCAGCTTAGGATGACGACAGGAAACCATCCTCATAATGAATGCCTCACGAAAGCTGCACTGCACCTTTCCGTCGATTCAACAAAAAACAGTTAACTCTTTCAAAGCCAATAATAAAATAGGTGTGGGCAGAGGAAATATATCCCATAGGCCATCCAAAATGCATGGAATATCTGGAGAACAGATTTGCTACACAAATATACTTTAACGTCTTTCTGACTTGTTTAAGGAGTTTTACCATCCGGACTACCACAACAGCTGCGGAATAACTGATGAGACATCAGCACACGGAATGCATTATGCACTCTCAGACAACCATCGTCTTGTTTTTCGGTGTTCATGTTCATGTTAAGTCACAAGTCAAGGGGGGAGGACACTATAAAAATACCACGCCAGTTTAAGAATCCGATGCATCTGCCAGGCCAGACCCACTAGGGATTTTCGTCAGTCTGCGACGACCTTGCACGGCAATTACCGGCAGTGATAGATGACACACAGGGCCTGGGTTGGGAATCTGCCTAACGATTTAATATCATCCGTTTAGCAGGGAAGCTTTGGCATTAGGGCAGTTTACTGCTATCTATGGGATTACCAAGGCTGAAGGAAAGAAAGATATGGGTGTTACAGTTCAAGTGATGGGGCTTATAATGATCAGCCGATCGCTGTAAATCAAAATAGTTCCCTGATATGCGCTCCGAGTGCCAGAGTTGGGAGAAGACCACTGGGAGAGATGTTCAAACACATTGCCGACGACGCCTTAAGCTCACGCGAGGACGCTTTGGCTTTGTATGCATATTCCAAATTAAATTTGTCGTACATACCGGTACTTCGCGCCATACGCACGCGAACCTGTATGCAAGTGCACATGGTGTCTCCTGTTCAATGGGCTCCAAAAAGAGGTTAAAAAACATGGAGCCCATTACTTTTGAGTTTCTTTCGGTAATGAAACAATTATTTTGGGAAACTGAGCAGGGACTGTATCAAGAAAGCCAGAAGAAAGTTAAAAGACATAAAGATGAAAAACATTATCCAAATCCAAAAGTCGCCAAATGTCAAACTTGACTGGCTTTATTAATTGATGACTTTCTTTACAAGTTGTTTGTACGGTATAAAGTAGGTTTGGGCGAGTCATGGATATTTGTATTTGAGTACTCGCAAAGAAATTACTTGCGAGTAGTCGAGTAGTCGAGTACTCGCGAGTAGTTAACGAATTCCAATAAAAGCAGATAAATGACACATACCTTGGTATGATGGGAAGTGACTACAAGAAAATAGCGTGCAAGTCACGCCACATTCTTCAGCACTGAGATATCCTTACAAGTGCGACGTTTTGAGACATTTACTTGACGTTTTGAGTCATTAACTCGAATTTTATTTTTTTGGGCGAATTGAATCCTAGGGAGAGAGAGGTGAAGGGAGTGATTCCCTGTTTGCAAGGGATGTTTTAAACCGTGAACCCTAAACCCTAAATTGCTACTAGCGAGTACCTGCTTCTACTCATGTGTACTCGAGTAGATGAAAAACCGCGAGTAGAATGAGTAGCATAAACTACTCGTGAGTACTTGAGTAATCGAGTTACTTACCCAGTGGTATAAAGAGGCCTACATATGTATCTTTTTAATTTCACACTATAGACCGTTTCCATTCAGCAGCCATCTTGCAGGTATTCTGTTATCCTATTCAGTAACAATGAATGCACAAGCGTATCATGGAACAAAAGCCAGCGCCTCAAAGATGTCTGCAATGCACATGGTCTATTGCCTTGACATTATTATTTGATTGATTCCACTTGCCGACTTGCACATTACATTGTACCTGGCACAAAAAGAAACTAAGCAGTTTTTATAATCATCCTTGTTTGGATATTTCTCGGTGACTAAAACATCTTTCTTGTTCAATTTGAATGCGGGGCCTGCATCACTGCATTTAATTGTGTGTTGCAATTCCCATTGAAAATCTCGCTAAGTGCAACTTTTAGTTTTTGGGTTTCAGGAGCTTCAGCGCTTGCGCTCTAGTTATTTCTTAGTCAGGGGTGTGAGTGACCACTAATAAAAATAGCTGAAAACAACTGAAAAAGGATTGAAAAAGCTGAGCTTTGGAAATCTCCTATACTTTTGTACACAGCAAGTGAGGGAAAAAAGCTGAAATCCAAAACAAAACAAAAGCTGAAATCCGCTTTTAAGCTGAGATTTCACACCCCTGCTTAGTGTTCCCAAGTGACGTATCAAATTGAACCGGAAAGTTTCTGTGACAGACAAAAAATATATTTCAGATTTTATTTCATCGAGAGATGTCCAAACAAGGATGATTATAAAAACTGCTTAGTTTCTTTGTGTGCCACGTGTACTGTACATCCTACACAAACAACATAATGAAGTAAAGCTGGTCGCAGAGCACACACATTCTGAATTCAATTGATTCAAAATGTGTAATTCATTGGAAGTCCTTTAATACATCTGGTGTACACAATGAGCCGGATCTAGCCCATTATGAGGTAATCCAAAATGACAGCACTGCATGGCACTCTTTACCAGCCAACAACCAGGCCAAGTCACAAGCAGGCCTTGCGCTAATTTTTTTTCCTGGCTAGCCCACTGGGCTAGTTAACTGGATATTTTACTAGCCCGTATATAAAAAATAAGAAAACGCCAAAATCTCTTTGCTCCGTCTTTCCCCTCATTTGGGCTACTTGCGTTTGGCAAAAATCGCCACATTTTGCTTGCTTTTGGACCTCCGAATGTGCGCGGTGAAAAACTTTTTTTCAATCAAAGAGGGCGCTGTTTGCACGCGGCTTTGTGAAGACTTCGTATCAAATGCTTTCAAGGACTGCAACGCCCAGTACAGCTAGCTGTGGCCAGTCAAGGTTAGAAAACTTGATAAACGATGTGAACGAGAATAGTGTGCACGTGCAGTACCGCGCCGTACCGTGTGCTATGCTATTTACTACAACCCACCAGTCTACTTTGTTCGTGGCATTCGCGCGAGTATCACGTTTCGAAAACACAAATAAAACATCCACAACGTCTCAGTTTTTGCGATCGTGTATTTGTTATCACCGAAAGCATTATATAGTTTGATCAAAATTTTAACAGGTAGGTTTAATACTGATTTTTTCACTAGCCCACCAGGCAACCAAGGAAGCAAGTTTAGGTAGCCTGGAGCATTTTTCGCTAGAATTTGTACGCCGGGCTAGTACTATTTTGAGGCCTGACAAGTGACAGTCAGTCAGTCAGTCAGTCAGTCAGGTACAAAGAGGACACAAGGCTGGCCAAGCTGGGACCAGAAAAACCCTAAAAAGTCACAAGATCTGATTAATGACGTTGTCCAGAACACAAGCACCTCAAACAACCACACGCATTTGTTATCTAATATTCTTGTCAACATCATCCAAATTCTCATACCTTGAAGAAAAAAAAACCCACGGTGATCATATCAAATTTGACGCTTAAAGTGCCTCAGTTGTAATCTAATTTCTTGTTCTCCCAAGAGGATGCTCTACGAATAAAATAAGAAACTCCCTCCATCTCCAAGGACGTGGCTTTCATCTTTAAGTCATACATACCTACATGTGATGCCCACTCCCAGTTCTCAGAGGATTTCGGGCGACAAAATTTCCTCGACAACACACCCACTTGCGTGCTCCTTCGAGCTTTATTTGTCTCCCAGTGTAAATAGCAAAGGATGAAAAGTAGGCCTGGGCTTTTAAGATGATTATGAAACACTTGTATCCATCACGAGGTACCGGTAGGTTCTTTACGGCTGATTTTTGTTTGTTTTTTTGTGACGGGTATGATCAGTCAGAAAGAAAAAAAACATACAACCAGGGACGCAAGTATCCAATGTGATGTCAGGAAAGAATTTACAATGTGAAGACAAGGTGTTTTGGTGGATGGGTATGAAAAGCATATCCAGGGAAGACACGTTGCCATGGCGATGGAAATTGATGTCGATGCTCGA